TAATAGGGGCCATGTTTGAAAGATTGCGCCACTTCTGTTGCCCTTGATGATAAGTTAGCTACCGGTTTTTGACACTCATAGAAAAAGGCCATGGCTGCTTTCCGGGTGATTCAGGTGGAAACGAGTATGTTGTAGGAATGAGGCTGGATGGGTTGAGAAAACGGGGATGGATTGGTTTTCTTAATGCATCTCAGAAAGGTTCCTTGGAAGAACTTTTGTCAAATTCGGTGGGTCTCTCAGTATTTTACAGTGCGGGATTTTGTATGAATTTCCCACTTGCGAGGAGAGGCTTATTCATTCACTTAAATACAGTTAAATTGCTCATTTGACTTCTGAGTTTTATTAATTTTTAATTTTATTTTCTTTATTTCTTAATTTACTAATTTTTCACCTCTAAATTTAAATTTCTAAAATTTTATTTTACTTACACTGCTAAAAGGTGCTTCTTTGATTCACTCCTCTGGATTCATTGCTCGTTCGATTTGAATTTGATTAGAAGTAAAAATTGACTCTATAAGTAGAATTTAAACCTGGCTGTAGATTATAGATAAAAAGTCAATTATTATTCATTTTTCCAAATTAGTTTCTAGCAATTAGTTGGTAATTTTGCTTCTGCTCTATGATCTTTGAATCTTGAACTGTCCAACAAAGTTGACACTGCATTCTAGAACTTTTCTTAAACTTCTTCTCAAGAATTTTTGATGGTTACTCTTGCAGTTTTCTATAACTAATCATTCCAAATTTCCTTATTTATCCTACTTACCACATCTCCTGGAAAGCACCGGAAGCATAATTATATAACTAGAGAAAACGGATCATCCCGATAACGGATGATTCCACATTCACGGCAATGGGGGTGGCAATGACGTAGTTTTCTATGTCTTCCACAGTTCGTCCGCTTGTCTCGAAGCCCAGCCACAGAAAACAGACGTCATTCGGGATAGTAGATCAACTTTGTCCGGCAGAAATATCTTGCATCGTAGGTAGAAAATCGCCAGAAAGCAACATAATTGGAAGTCCAGTTCTGGATTTTTGGTAATTATGGACAAAAGGGCCACGTCTCCGCAGCTTAAAATCTGCCCAGCCACCCAAGAATCGTCCCCACAAAAGTGTTCACAATTGCAGGCTTCTTTTCGGTCTCAAATGGCTACGAGAAGCACCAGTTGAAATTAGTCGACTTCGTCCCTTCTGAAGAATGGCTGGACCAGTCGACTCTCCTCCTGGCGGTCCCGATATTTTCCTGATTTTCTTTTTTCAAATCTCTTTTAGCAATACCTGTTTTTTTTTTTTTTTTTGCCCGCATGCAACTCCTCCCTTCTCCAGTTTCTGTAATAGATGACCTCGCCCAGCCTCTAGATTTGAGAGCAAACCTTGCGTCTCTGTCGTTTCTTCTGGGGCAGAATTTACTTCTGACCCTCTCAACGATATCGGTTCTGCTGAGAGCTCAGCCGTATTTGATGATCCTATTTGTGATATTCGAGGACCCGACGGTGTTAGGCGGTTGATAGAGTCGGCATCAGCTGGTGGTGCAGGTGTTAACTCAGCAGGTCTCGAATCTGCCGTCTGCGTTTGATTATTTACAGATGCTGCGTACTGCTATTTGCAAGAGAACTGGAATCCGCCTGCGACAGAGAATAACCGTGGGGATTACATAGGGCACAGGCAGCGTAGGCACTCCTTCTCTAGACGTGTTAACTGCCTTCCAGTTCCGCAGAGGTGTTATGCCTGCATTCCCCCATTTTAACTTTTCCCCCGATAATCTCGTGAACTGATGGTTTGTTTTCATGAACTTCAGCACTCTGCGACTCTGCACTAGTTGGTGGGTGTTCTTGCGTCGGTGGCGGAGCCAAAGAAGAAGTGCTACTGTTAGAGTGAGCACTGCGAGAGGAACGGCAATGCCAACTGCTGCTTTAGAGCCAGTGTTAAGACCACCACTTCCGTTCCCTCCTGGATTGTTACTTTAAGCCCCCGGGCCTCCAAGAATAGGTGTGGGCAACGGGCCTAGAGTAGAATCTCCATATGCCCGTGCAGCTAATTTTGATGTAGTTGCGGATGTGGGAAGAGGGGAGGATGTAGAGACGGATGATTTAGTTATGGTAGCAAATGTTGCTGAAGTGGTTGTCGAGTGAGCAGAGGGGTGCTGACACTGGAGTTGTAAATGACAACTTTTTATCGCCGCTGGTAATATTCTTTTCACATATTTTCATGAGATGTTAGTTAGCCCAACTGTTTTGCTATTTATTGGCCATGTCACATGACTGATAAGTAACACAAGTCCAGCGTGGCAAAAGAATCCTCTATTGCTGTACCATTTGTCACTGGCAAATTTGTTCACATCAAGCTGAAAATAGTGGACCTATCACGCTGTCAGAAACTGCCTGCGCAAAATGAAATTCCATGACTTATTGCACACTCTGGTATATTTGCTCCGACAAACATCAATTGTGGCAAGGGCTGCAAAGATAGATGGTCCCAGTTTTAATAGAGAAACCTGCAGTTGATGGACAATGGAGAAGCATCATCAGTCTACCGCCTCAACTCTGATATTTAGGGTTAGCAGCTGCAATGCTTCTCCAGCGACATTGGTGTTCCCACGTAAAAGGTGTCATGATTCGGCACGATGGAAGGAGACCTTATGGCATGGGGAAAGGAAAGCCCCAGGCTTCAAGCTGGTCCGCATGCAAGGTGGCTGCTGACAGAATTGGGAATTAAAGAAGATCATCCGTTCTTGGATGCTTTTGTGGTTGTCGAATATATATTCTACACATATCCGAGCTCTGCGGTATGAACGAAGACCTTCTATCCCAGGCAATTCCGGCAAATGGAACTCCCCCTTTTCAACGCCAAGGACGTAACAACGGGAGGGAAGCACCACTTGGCGCTTCACCTGCATTGTCTGTTATCTTGATAATGTTGGAAAATCCACAGCTCTCGTTAACCCAATCTAGA